GTCACTGATGTGTATAGTATGTAAAGTTATGGAGAAGATTATCAGTAAGAGAGTGGTGGAACACCTGGAACGGAAGAAGAGTAAAACGCCAACCAGCACGGATTCACGGAAGACACGAGAGAGAGGGGTGGGTTGATTGCATCTTCTTGGACTGCAAGAAGGCCTTTGACACAGTTCCTCACAAGAAGCTAGAGGATCAGGTGCATATAACAGGAAGGACACTGCAATGGATCAGAAAATACCTGACAGGGAGGCAACAACGAGTCATGGTAAGTAATGATGTATCACAGTGGGCACCTGTAACGAGCGGGGTCCCACAGGGGTCGGTCCTAGGACCAGTGCTATTTTTGGTATATGTGAATGACATGATGGAAGGGTTAGACTCAGAAGTGTCTCTGTTCGCAGACGATTTATTTATTTATTTATTTATTTATTTTATGTCTTTGCAAACAGTACATTGAGATTTTATATTTACAATAGTGGGGTTTGCAATGCAAAGAGAGCCTCTATTATGCCTAGGCATTATGGGCCAACTTAACATTATTGGCTTACAGTCTACTTAACACTAAGGAGTAGTATATCATAGTTGTACAGCAGGATAGTAATTATTTCATAGTTGTATAGTAGAATATTAATTATAAATGAATCAAAATTTGTATAATACAAAGATGTATTTATATTCGAAAATGCTTTTTGTGAAAACAATAATTCAATTATATTCCTGTCAACAATGGATAAAAGGTTCAATGTGAATGTTTCAGTTATGATGTGGGAGTACATAGGTGAGTAAATGTGTACTGAGTATTTAGCATTTAGTCTAGGGTGATTAAGTGGCTTTTGAGAAGAGTCTTAAATTGATTTTCAGACTGGGTTACTTTAATATCTTCTGGTAATGAATTCCATATTTTGGGGACCTTTATGTGCATAGAGTTTTTACACAGTGTGATATGGACACGAGGTATATCAAAAAGAGATCTGTGTCTTGTGTTGTGGTCATGTGAAGTTAATGAGGAGAATTAAATCAGACAGGACTTCAAAGAGCCCTGGACAGACTGGACACCTGGTTCAGCAACGCTTCTCGAATTTAACCCCGCCAAATGCAAAGTCATGAAGATAGGGGAAGGGCACAGAAGACCGCAGACGGAGTATAGGCTAGGTGGCCAAAGACTGCAAACCTCGCTCAAGGAGAAAAATCTTGGGGTGAGCATGTCTCCGGAGGCACACATCAACCAGATAACTGCTGCAGCATATGGGCGCCTGGCAAACTTGAGAGCGGCGTTCCGATACCTTAGCAAGGAATCGTTCAAGACACTGTACACCGTGTACGTCAGGCCCATACTGGAGTATGCAGCACCTGTTTGGAACCCCCACTTGATCAAGCACGTCAAGAAATTAGTGAAAGTGCAAAGGTTTGCAACAAGGTTAGTTTCAGAGCTAAGGGGAAAGTCCTAGGAAGAAAGGTTAAGGGAAATCGGCCTGACGACAGTGGAGGACAGGAGGGTCAGGGGAGACATGATAACGACATATAAAATACTGTGCGGAATAGACAAGGTGGACAAAGACAGGATGTTCCAGGGAGGGGACACAGAAACAAGAGGTCACAATTGGAAGTTGAAGACTCAGATGAGTCAAAGGGATGTTAGGAAGTATTTCTTCAGTCATAGAGTTGCCAGGCAGTGGAATAGCCTAGAAAGTGACGTAGTGGAGGCGGGAACCGTACATAGTTTCAAAACGAGGTTTGATAAAGCTCATGGAGCAGGAAGAGAGAGGACCCAGTAGCAACCGGTGAAGAGGCGGGGCCAGGAGCTAAGACTCGACCCCTGCAACCACAAATAGGTGAGTACAAATAGGTGAGTACACACACACACAGGACCTAGTAGCGATCAGTGAAGAGGAGGGGCCAGGAGCTGAGTCTCGACCCCTGCAACCACAATTAGGCGAGTACACACACACACAACACACACACACACACACGTGGTAATGCTTTATATATAGTGAGCAAAGTCAGGATATTTCTCCAGAATGGTCTGTAATATACCATTGTGGATAAAATACTTTGCCATTTCTTAAACATTTCTGAGTGAGTTGTCTCTAAATTCCTTAATTTGATCGCACTCCAGTACATAATGATGCATGGGGTCAGGAGTGTGGCGTGCTGACGAACACGAGCCTGGGGTCCTGCCCACCAGGAACTTATCTGGTTCTGGGTATTACAAAAGTTGATTCGTGGAATTTTCTTCGTCCCTGTCTTTGTCTCGGATAACCATGCTCGCTCTGGGTCAATCCATGTGGTGTAAAGCTGTGATACAATGTAACGCACAAGTGGTTTTGATTGGTACGGCATGCCCCTTTTATATGTTCATCTAGCATCAAACTTTTCTCTTCTGCCCTGGTTGATTCCGACAGGTCATGTCTGTTCTCCACTGCCGTGTGCGAAAGCTCAAATACCTACAGTTACTTCTCGCCCCCTTTTTCTCAACCACTTCCGGTCTCATTTTCATGCCACTGATTGTTCTAATTCCTCTGACGGTGTCGGGTTTGCAGCAATGCTCCCGGACAGCGTTGTGCGAAGGCATTTATTAGACACAGCTAGCATTTTTACAGCTGAACTGTGTGCAGTTCTTATTGCAATTATTCGTATTGCATGTATACCTACCTCAACGTTCGTCGTAGTCTCAGATTCCCTTAGAGCGCTGCAAGCTAATATAAAATTTGATTCGTGTCATCCCCTAGTTCTTCGTATACAGCTCTGGTTGAGCCGTATTTCTAGCAAAGACAAACAAATTGTTTTCTGCAGGGTCCCTGGTCATATTGATGTACAACAATGGTATACAATACCGACAAGATGAAAACTGTCACACATGTGAAACATCTGGGTATCTTTATTGTAGACGTTTCGCCATCCAGTGGCTTTATCAATACAGATTCTAGGATATAATTTAAAGACAGTAGAACTATAAACAAAAGATGAGGTAATCAGTCCCTCAGCCTTGGAGTTGATGTGAAGAGCACCGTAGCCTTGAAGATTCTGGAGCAGAGGCAAGTGCCTCCTGATAAAGCCACTGGATGGCGAAACGTCTATAATAAAGATACCCATTTGTTGTACATGTGTCTCAGTTTTCATCTTGTCGTTATTGGATACCATCCTCTCAAAGACACGCTACTACGTGCCACAATCAGCCCTTCTCACACTATACTATTCACTCGTCTATCCCTGCCTCACCTATGCTATTTGTGCCTGGGGATCAACAGCAGCATTGCAGCAACCCACCTAAAGCCAATAATAACCCAACAGAAAGCCACAGTAAGAATTATCAAGCAATCCAATACTAGACAATAATTCCCCCCTCCCCACTCTTCAAATTATTATTGTTATAATCAAAAAGAAGCGCTAAGCCACAAGGGCTATACAGCCCACTCTTCAAAGATCTAAACTTACTCACTGTTCAGAACATCCACACTTACTACAGTGCAACCTACATTTACAAAACCATAAATTCCAATATTAACCCTGAACTAAAACACTTTCTATGACATTCCCCGTGTCCGGCTAAACCTATGCAAAAATTCAATGTACATAAAGAGCCTAAAATCTGGAACTCCCTGCCTGAAAAATCTAGAACTGCAGACACAACCATCACTTTCAAAACTACCGTTAAAACAACATCTTATCTCCCTGACACATCCCACTGTCAACTAGCTACATGAAAACCACCTATTATTTTGTATCATGCAGCCAGGTATAGATACTCAAAAATCCGGGACAAAGGAATTAATGTACAATTGCTATGGATCCCATCACACATTGGATTACTCCTTCATGATAAAGTTGATATGTTAGCCAAGAAGAGTACCCAGAAGGAAAATGTAGAATATAACTTTGGTATATCTGTATCCAGCATTAGGAATATTAGGAGAGAAGTAAATAATGAAAATGATTGTTATAGGAATGCAGTTAGAAGCCTGAGTAGATCTATAACCCACTATGATAACATGAACATAGATAAGTATGTTTATGAAGCAACTTGCAATGTGAACAGACTGACTGATGTTGTAGTGGCCAGGCTTAGGCTTGGTTACAAGTACTTCTGGCAGTTTGGGAGACACACAGATGATGATCAAACTAAATGTAAATTATGTGACCAGGCATATGGTCACTCTCTTGAACACTGTGTGCTTAATTGTCCACTTACTGAGGAATACAGAGACAGACAGTATAATAACCTATGTGACATGTCAAGATATCTTATTAATGAAAATAAGATACCAGATATACTAAGCAAGTTTCCTAAATTTGCTTGTAACAGATAAGTGAACTGTAGATATGTAGATATAAATCCATATATACACCTGCTAACCCTTTTGAGGCCTAGTTCCTAGGCCTTGTGTATCCATATGCTCTTGCGCTACCGTCCACAGGATGGATATGGGGTGCACAATAAACTAGCCACTTCGGTGGCAAAATCTAAAATCTATCATGCACACATAAAAACAAGCTAGACCTACTCCCGAATAGTTTTCGGTTCTCAATATTGTTTACAGCTGCTGTGTGGCAAGATTTGAGAGATGGGATGTACCTGTGGTGGCATGGATGAGCCACTCCAGCAGCCCAGTGCCGCAGCCGACGGAGGCCAGGGCGGAGAGTCTAAGGTCCCTCACGTGGGCGGCTAGAGCCAGCAGGCAGCAGGGTTGAGGTCGCACCCACAGCATCAGTGGATCCCATTTATAAGTTGCGTTGGTCTTCCCTTTCACTGAAGGCTCTGCGATGAAGGACAGCAAGGCAGCGGCGTCACCTGGGAGAGCGCAGCTACATTACTTCAATATAATGTCGGTTGCTGTTCCTTCAGTGAGAGGTAGGGAGGGGGGGGGGTCTCTAGATGCTGGTGAAAGACTCTTGATACAAGGAATTAGTTACCTTCTCCTTGAAGCTACCCCTCTCCTTGACCCCAATGGGTTTAGCACTTTCCCGTAATCAATATCAGCATGCCTGCATGCTTGCAGGTGCTCACTGGGTTTCCTGTATAAAAAAGCCGGGTCAGCAACACAACCTGGAGAGGCTGGTAACAGCCTGAACTCCTGATTCCTTAATGCATTGAAGCCTTGAAATTCCATATAATTTCAGGCACTGATTTAAATGCATTATGCTATATCACAGAAACCTATTTAGAAACCTGTTTAATAAATTATTTTAAAAATTGTACAATGAAAATGATCATATGGAGGAGAGGAAGCGAAGGCCTATGCCATGATATGTTCACTGTGTATCTCTATAGCCAATTAGCTCTTTAGGTCATCAAGACTAATTATTGTGGGGATTTCTCTGGGCGTTTCTACATTAATAGTTTAGGAAGGAACATCCTAACCTTCCTGTAGGACTTTAGAAGAAGTGAGATCTTTGACACCTCTGATATTCTGCCTACCAAGGAACTAGTATCTCCTTCCCAGTGACCATAAATCTAAAATGTTGCAAACCTATTCTTAGAATACCCGCAATTAAAATTCAGGGTCAATTTATGTAGACACTACTCATGCAATGTATAATAAATTAATGTAATAATCGTTATTTTTTATCTTTACCAAGATGTGGACTGTATGACTGGTAAAATTCTACCTCATAATACTTTCACTGCGAACCTTGGCAAGTGTGAATTTGCACAGGCTACATTTAAGTATTTAGGATTCATAGTGGGACAGGGCAAAGTAGCTCCTGTAGAGGCAAAAGTAGCAGCAGTTATGAGAGGCCTAAGATCGTAGAAGAGATGGAGCTTTTTTGGGCATGACTGGTTGCTATGGCCGATTCTCCCCAAATTTCTCCCAGGTAGCAGTTCATTTGACCGAACTGAACAAGATTTTGTTAGACTAAAAAGACTTGTATCCTCCTCTCCAGTACACTGCAGTCCTGAAAGGAATCTACTCTTTATTGTCCAAGTAGATACAAGTGAGCAAGATGTGTGTGAGCTGTACCATCCGTGGCAGATACGGTACTTCACCCTATTCATTACTTTTCGTCAAAATTAAAGAACTCTTAACTATCATATGCAACGGTAGAAAAGGTGATGCTGGGTTTAGTTCTTGAATTAGAAGTTTGAAGTCTGTGGGATCTTCACCATTTCAAATCGAAGTTCTCATTGACCACATTCCCTTGTCATATATTCATCTTATCTTGTCATGCTCTAGGCCTTGCATATACAGCTTTTAATAGAGATTTTCCATATAAAAGGTTATGAAAATACTTAAGCTTCACGATGCTGGCTGGGTCGCCTAAAGTAAACAAACAACTTATTCAGACATTTTGGTCTTGCTAATTTTATTTTCCATTCCAATTCCTAGGGTAAACGTTTTCCTGAATATCAGTGGTATACAATACCAACAAGATAAATTAGACACACGAGCAACATCTGGGTATCTTTACTATGTAGATATTTCGCCAACCAGTGTCTTGATCAATACAGTACAAGACTGAAGAGGTGGATGAGTTAATCAGTCCCTCAGCCTAGGAGCAGGTGCTCAGTGCCGCAGTCACCAATATTGTAAACAAGAAATACAACAGGAAATAGCAAATAAGAGGACTCCACTAGCAATAGTGAGGATATATTACCAAAAACAACTGGTGGGAGCTCCATTGTTGGTGCTAGGGAAGATAGGAATAAGACAGGTAAACATGCACCAACAGGGAATACAGTCACAGAAACCCAAGGCAAACGGAAACCAAGCCTGTGCACATACTATGCACTTGGTATCTGCAGACATGGGAAATCTGGAAAAACAGATGGGACGTGCAACTATGACCACCCTAGAAAATGCCATGCCCATATGACAACAGGAAAATGCAAACTCCCTTCCTGTAAGCTTTTTCACCCTGAAATGTGTACCTCTTCAGTACAGGAAAGACTGTGCTATAACTTAAATTGCCAGGCACACCATTAAAGAGGACAAAAAGATACAAAACATCCAGGCCATGGAAAAACCTGGGTAGCCACAGCCACTCAGAGGGAGAGGTTTTTTAGTGCCAGGAAGGAAAAAAAACTGGCAGGAAATGGCAGAAATTGTACACCAAATCCAGTCATTCCTGGAGTGGAACCACAGTCGATGGCCTCCATCCCAAACCAACAGATACAGATACTAATGCCGGAAAAAAAAATCCCCCCCCCCAGTACCAACAATACCACCAGTCCGATGACATTCTTCTTTGCAAATATACAGGGTCTAAAGCCAGCAACAAACAACAAAATACCTTTCATCGTGGACTGCTTGCAGAGGCAAAGGCAATGTTCACGGCTTTCACTGAGACCCACATAAAGGATCACTTGGACAACGAAATATGGATCCCAGGTTACAACCTATACAGATGTGACAGAGTGAACAGGCAAAAGGGGGGGGGGGTTGGCCTGTACATTGCAGAGTCACTTGTTTGCACAGAACTGCTTAATGCCTCAAATGATGTAGTGGAAGTTTTAGCAGTAAAGGTCGAGAACCAAAACCTAGTCATTGTGGTAGTCTACAAGCCTCGGATGCAACATCCCAGCAATTCCAGGAACAGCTGTTAAAAATTGACCACTGTCTGGAAAATCTTCAGCTCCTGCACCCAACATCTTGCTCCTGGGGGATTTCAACTTAAGGCACCTAAAATGGAGGAATATAGCAAATAATATTGTTGCAGTAATAACACCAGGAGGCAGCTCTGATGAAAACTCACACTCACACGAGCTTTTAAATCTCTGCACAAAATTCAATTTAAACCAGCAAATAATAGAGCCTACTAGAATGGAGAATACACTAGACCTCATCTTCACTAACAATGATGATCTGATAAGAAATGTCACCATATCAAAAACAATATACTCAGATCACAACATAATTGAGGTTCAGACATGAATGCGCAGAGCCCCAGACCGACAAAATGAGATTAAACATTAAAATGGTATAAAATACCGACAGGTTGTTAGGTAAGACACATATGCAACAGTTAGGTATCTTTATTATGAAACGTTTCGCCTACACAGTAGGCTTCTTCAGTCAAGTACAGAAAAGTTGATAGAAGCAGAAGATACTTGAAGACGATGTAATCAGTCCATCACCCTTAAAGTTTTGAGGTGGTCAGTCCCTCAGTCTGGAGAAGAGCATTGTTCCATAGTATGAAACAATATGGAGATGAAGTGACAGGATGGAGCTTTTATAGCGCCATGAGGTGAGACGTAGACCACTAGGAGAGGTAAGAACTCAGATGTTGAAAGGTCAGGTCCTTCTCAACTCCAGCCGCTCTCACTGGTGGAAGTTGTCGAAGTTGATTGCAGGTCTGTACCAAGATACCCTTGTGTTGCAGTGTCTGACAGATTGAACATTAAAATGGTATAAAATACCGACAGGTTGTTAGGTAAGACACATATGCAACAGTTAGGTATCTTTATTATGAAACGTTTCGCCTACACAGTAGGCTTCTTCAGTCAAGTACAGAAAAGTTGATAGAAGCAGAAGATACTTGAAGACGATGTAATCAGTCCATCACCCTTAAAGTTTTGAGGTGGTCAGTCCCTCAGTCTGGAGAAGAGCATTGTTCCATAGTATGAAACAATATGGAGATGAAGTGACAGGATGGAGCTTTTATAGCGCCATGAGGTGAGACGTAGACCACTAGGAGAGGTAAGAACTCAGATGTTGAAAGGTCAGGTCCTTCTCAACTCCAGCCGCTCTCACTGGTGGAAGTTGTCGAAGTTGATTGCAGGTCTGTACAAGATAACCCTTGTTTGTCGTGTATGACGATTGAACATTAAATGGATAAAATACCGACAGTTGTTAGTAAGACATATGCAACAGTTAGGTATCTTTATTAAAACGTTCCTGCACAGTAGGCATCTTCATCAGTAACATGAAAAGTTGATAGAAGCAGAGATACTTGAAGACGATGTAATCAGTCCATCACCTTAAAGTTTGAGGTGGTCAGTACCTCAGTCTGGAAATAGCATCTTCATGGTATGAAACAATATGGAAGACGTGCACTGGTAGCCTTTCTATAGCGCCATGGGTGAGACGTAGACATTAGGAAGTCAAGAACTCATGTGAAAGGTCAGTCTCTTCTCAACTCCAGCCGCTCTCACTGTGAAAGTTGTCGAAGGTGATTGCAGGTCTGTACAAGAACCCTTGTATTTATACCATTTTAATGTTCAATCTGTCATACACTGCAACACAAGGGTATCTTGTACGAACCTTTGCATCAATTCGACAACTCACCATGAAGCGCTGGAGTTGAGAAGGACTTGACCTTCAACATCTGATTCTTACTTCTAGTGGTTTAGTTCACTCATGGCGCTTAAAAGCTACATCTGTTCAATCCATTTGTTTCATACTATGACAAGTCTTCTCCAACTGAGGGATGACCACCTCAAAACTTTAAGGTGAGGACTGATTACATCGTCTAAGTATCTTCGCTTCTATCAACTTTCTGTACTTGATGAAGAGCCTACTGTGTAGGCCGAAACGTTTCATAATAAAGATACCTAACTGTGCATATGTGTCTTACGTAACAACCTGTCGGTATTTTATACCATTTAATGTCATTCTGTCGACACTTGCAACACAGTATCTTGTACAGACTGCAATCAACTTCGACAACTTCCACCAGTGAGAGCGGCTGAGTTGAAACCTGACCTTCAACATCTGAGTTCTTACCTCTCCTAGTGGTCTACGTCTCACCTCATGTCGCTATAAAGCTCCATCCTGTCACTTCATCATCCATATTTTCATACTATGGAACAAGCTCTTCCAGACTGAGGGACTGACACCTCAAAACTTTAAGGGGATGGACTGATTCATCGTCTTCAAGTTCTTTCTTCTATCAACTTTGTACTGACTGATAGAACTACTGTAGGCGAACGTTCATAATAAAGATACCTAACTGTTGCATATGTGTCATACCTAACAAAATGAATTAGTCACGAGGAGCATTCACAAATTCAACTCCTAACAAAACAAAGTGGGCCAAGAAACAAGTCTAACGATATCACTGAAGATATACTAAGCACACAGACAACTTATGCCTAGAACAGATTAACTTGGTGGCACTCGATGTATGCACAAGACTTATTCCTCTAAGAAAAAGGAGGAGTAGATGTAAAATAGAAAGAGACAGGCGCTCTCTTTACAGGCGACGGAAAAGAATAACAGAGCGGCTAAAAGAGGTCAATCTATCTGAAATGCGTAGGAAGACACTGGTCAGAGAAATAGCAAACATCGAACTTAAGCTAAAGGAATCTTATAGGAGTCAGGAATCGCGGGAAGAACTAAAAGCCATAAATGAAATCGAAAGAAACCCAAAGTATTTCTTCTCCTATGCCAAATCAAAGTCGAGAACAACGTCCAGTATTGGGCCCTTACTTAAACAAGATGGGTCCTACACAGATGACAGCAAGGAAATGAATGAGCTACTCAAGTTCCAATATGACTCAGTTTTTAGCAAGCCACTAACCAGACTAAGAGTCAAAGATCAAAATGAATTTTTTATGAGAGAGCCACAGAATTTGGTTAACACAAGCCTATCTGATGTTATCCTGACACCAAATGACTTTGAACAGGCGATAAATGACATGCCCATGCACTCTGCCCCAGGGCCAGACTCATGGAACTCCGTGTTCATCAAGAACTGCAAGAAGCCCTTATCACGAGCCTTTACCATCCTATGGAGAGGGAGCATGGACACGGGGGTCGTCCCAGTTACTAAAAACAACAGACATAGCCCCACTCCACAAAGGGGGCAGTAAAGCAACAGCAAAGAACTACAGACCGATAGCACTAACATCCCATATCATAAAAATCTTTGAAAGAGTCCTAAGAAGCAAGATCACCACCCATCTAGAAACCCATCAGTTACACAACCCAGGGCAACATGGGTTTAGAACAGGTCGCTCCTGTCTGTCTCAACTATTGGATCACTACCACAAGGTCCTAGATGCACTAGAAGACAAAAAGAATGCAGATGTAATATATACAGACTTTGCAAAAGCCTTCGACAAGTGTGACCATGGCGTAATAGCGCACAAAATGCGTGCTAAAGGAATAACAGGAAAAGTCGGTCGATGGATCTATAATTTCCTCACTAAAAGAACACAGAGAGTAGTAGTAAACAGAGTAAAGTCCGAGGCAGGAACGGTGAAAAGCTCTGTTCCACAAGGCACAGTACTCGCTCCCATCTTGTTCCTCATCCTCATATCTGACATAGACAAGGATGTCAGCCACAGCACCATGTCTTCCTTTGCAGATGACACCCGAATCTGCATGACAGTGTCTTCCATTGCAGACACTGCAAGGCTCCAGGCGGACATCAACCAAATCTTTCAATGGGCTGCAGAAAACAATATGAAGTTCAACGATGAGAAATTTCAATTACTCAGATATGGTAAACACTAGGAAATTAAATCTTCATCAGAGTACAAAACAAATTCTGGCCACAAAATAGAGCGAAACACCAACGTCAAAGACCTGGGAGTGATCATGTCGGAGGATCTCACCTTCAAGGACCATAACATTGTATCGATCGCACTGCTAGAAAAAATGACAGGATGGATAATGAGAACCTTCAAAACGAGGGATGCCAAGCCCATGATGACACTCTTCAGTCACTTGTTCTATCTAGGCTAGAATATGCTGCACACTAACAGCACCTTTAAAGGCAGGTGAAATTGCTGACCTAGAAAATGTACAGAGAACCTTCACGGCGTGCATAACGGAGATAAAAAAACCTAAATTACGGGGACGCTTGAGGTTCCTGAACCTGTATTCCTGGAACGCAGGCAGGAGAGATACATGATTATATACACCTGGAAAATCTAGAGGAATATTTACCGAACTTGCACACGAAAATCACTCACTACGAAAGCAAAGACTTGGCAGACGATGCAACACCCCCCAAATGAAAAGCAGGGGTGTCACTAGCACGTTAAGAGACCATACAATAAGTGTCAGGGGCCTGAGACTGTTCAACTGCCTCCCAGCATACATAAGGGGGATTACCAACAGACCCCTGGCAGTCTTCAAGCTGGCACTGGACAAGCACCTAAAGTCGGTTCCTGATCAGCCGGGCTGTGGCTCGTACGTTGGTTTGCGTGCAGCCAGCAGTAACAGCCTGGTTGATCAGGCTCTGATCCACCAGGAGGCCTGGTCACAGACCGGGCCGCGGGGGCGTTGACCCCCGGAACTCTCTCCAGGTAAACTCCAGGTAATCTGAAGCACTGGAAGGCAGAGGTGGGTTTATATACTGGAGTCAGATGAGGTGAATGCTTTTAATGAGGGAATTTCCAGCCTTGAGCATTAGGAGCTACAGTTCCGAGTTCTAGGCCCAGAGACTTTAGGAGACGGTATCCTTGCCGATTGGGAAGGACACTTGAACCCTGGTGATCTGTTGTTTAGTATGATGAAAGAGGTGTCTGTTTTGTCAGAGTTGTTCTCCATGGTTCTGGGAAAAGAATAGGGTCTATTATGACATGCTGCTGCATCTCCCTCTTCCCCAGCTAAGGATTTCGTTGGATATATTTAATTTTATCTAGACATATAGTGTTTCCCCACAGTCGGTGGCAGTCTGTGGTTCTGGCTATCCTACAGTAAGGCCGGAACACTAAGGAAGCTGGCAACTATCACCCCAGCTCTGATGAGTTGCTTATAAAAATTGGGAGAGGACGTTGAAGCTCGTCTTGTCTGGCATTTAGAGAGGAAAGCCTTCATCTCCTTAGAGCAGTTTAACTATCGCAAGTTCGGGTTGACAACAGACCCCTTGGTTCGGCTGGCTGGAGACATTCAGGAGGGTTTCACCAGATGACTTCATACCTCGGCAATCTTCGCCCTGGAGAAAGTCTTTGGCAACATGCGCGGCAGCCTGTTTCAGTTTCTTCCACAATTTGTCTTGTATATCCTTCAGGGTGAGAATTATTTTGTGCTGCTTATGGGAATTGCTGTTCCTGCATAACAGCATTTTGAGCATCATAAGGGTTTATTGTAGTTTACTGATGGCGTGGTCATTGTTATCACTGGTAGCGCGAGGCTTCCGTGTATCTTAATGATCTTGTAGTCTATTGCAGTCTATTCCAGAGGTGGCCTGTCTGCCACCTCAAGTGACTGTGGACAGTAACACAGTGAGAGCTGCTTCTAATGGCTACGGGTTTTTGTATAAAAGATGTTACCTTAATTTTTTCAGTCTTGGATTTTAAAGCCCGGCTTCCCTAGTGCTACGCCATGGTGTGGTCCTCACCTATTAACGTAGGTGACGTTCTTTAAAGGGGGATCTTTGCCTGGGGGGGGGGAGGGCGCCCTCTGATATGAAAGAGCTTATATTCAATAACTAAAAAAATGCTGCTTCTGCTGGCTTCAAAAATACTAATGCTGAGGTAGTCAGTAAGAAGGAGAGGTCTGAGCAGAAACATCTGAAATTTTACTGAAGTTTTTAAAACTATGGAATAGTTGAATAGGATCTGTTACTGGAGAATGCCTTTACTGATCGGCTTCAAACTTTCACCATTAGTTGGCTTCATTAAAAACAAAAACCTGGCGCCATTTTGCGGTATCATTAGCCACTTTTATTAAATAAATTGTTTTCATGAAATAACTAGAAATGGGCCCCTTCCCATCTCCTCTAAACCTTAAATGATTGGTTTTGTGGATGCTAATTTGGATGCTAATTTAAGCAATTTTACATTTAATTTTTTTGAAAATATAATAAAAATTTGCTGTAGGATTAAAGAGAACTTAAAATAGAAAACAAATCAATTTTAAAAAGATATCTCGTTTTTAGGGCATTTTTAAATTTAATGAGGATAGAATTTCTTATATTCTGGATGCTGGTCTCCTGAAATGACTTCAGTTTAGCTTCAAAGTTGTGTTTCTTAAAGGAAAATTTGAATTAAATTTGGGCTATTCATTACCTAAGTTTTTATTTTTATTGAAGGGTCTCGGACACTATTTTCCATATGAGTTAAGGGTGCCTCTTTGATTCTCTTCAAATTTTTAATAGTGAATTAATTGCATTCTAAACTCACGTTCACTCTGCGTTATTCCAGTTACGTTCCGGAGGTACAGGGGACTGGGGTTATGCTATGCTGGGGATAACGTTCTCGCATCTTGTAAGGACAGTAATATACAAACGGTTTCGTTCGTAAATGGACGCAACTAATGTGAAATGTTATTGTGACAATGTTTCGCTCTCCAGGAACTTTTTCAAAGCCGTTACATACGGTTGACAAAGTCCTGGAGAGGGGAAACGTTGCCACAATATAATGCCACATCAGTTGCAGCTGCGTCCATTTACCTAACATTTTGTCGGTAATTCTGCCCTTATTACAATACTTTTGTTTATCCTTGTTGTATTAGACTGCTCAGGGAAGCGGAATTTTTGGATTAATTGTGCGACCATTTTCTTATTAATACAAAATACGATACTTGTATACCGTATATTTAATCTTGCCGAACACGGCTCTGATTAAGACAATTTTTGGCACTGAGCTAAGTTTAATTCAAATTCAAAGTTTATTCTCTATAAGGATTACAATGCTGAGTTTACAGAAATTTGGTTATTGTTTGGTTTACATGTAGTAAAATTGTGATTACAGAGTGTACCACTAGAGAGCCTTAGTTGTACTTTATTTGTGGTATCTAAAGGAACGGGAAATATCTCCTGAGCAGTGATTTACAACCTTACCATTTTTATAGAGGGTGAGGATGTGGTCCTTGAGAGAAGGCCTCATGCTTTCACTGCATTCCTTTTTGAAGCACTGATTAGTCCTGTCACACTGGTTTGGTCCCGTCACACTGGCCGGTCCCGTCACACTGGTTGGTCCCGTCACACTGGCCGGTCCCGTCACACTGGTTGGTCCCGTCACACTGGCCGGTCCCGTCACACTGGTTGGTCCCGTCACGCTGGCCGCCTCCGACACAGTCGGTCACACACAGACCACCACATTTATCTTCTTCATGCCCTTCACCACACATGTTGTGCACACCGGGTATGTACAACTGTCTGACCTGAAATGCAACACTTAACATTGCATCCCACATATTGGTTTTATGCATTGTACTTGTACAGAAAAAATCTTAAATTAAATATAATTTTGGTCGCTGTGCCATCCTGGAGTTTACCTGGAGAGAGTTCTGGGGGTCAACGCCCCCGCGGCCAGGTCTGTGACCAGGCCTCATGATGGAACAGGGCCTGATCAACCAGGCTGTTTACTGCTGGCTCACGCAATCCAACGTATGAGCCACAGCCCGGCTGGTCAGGTACCGACTTTAGGTGCCTGTCCAGTGTAGACAGCCTGTACTGTCTGCAAAGACAGCCTATGTTGTCTGCCAGCTTAGTTCATATTTTCCAGCACTAAGGTGCTGCCCTCTAGCCAGCCCAAAGTCAGTGGGACGCTGATCCCACACGCTCTCTCACTCAGCGGCCTAGCAGCAAGACAGAAGTCTTACTAGCTCTCTCCCTCGTGGGATGGCCCTACCCGGCCATGGGCACAAACACACAAGCCTGTGCACCTACCAAAGATGCTTATCATTCACTCACCCGCCACCAGCCTACCAAATAATTCTGTTTCACATTGGTAGCAGCGGTGGTCGCAGCAGTTGTGTTTGCCCGGAGAGAGGAAGGAAGGATGAAGTCATCTTCACTTTATCACCCTATACAAGAAGCATCCGTCTCTCAACAAGTTATCCTGATGTCGTGTCTATACGTTTCAGCATCCAGACACATGTACAAGCAGGATTTGGCCGACATTTCCCAAATTTCTTCGAGAAATATAAGTGGCATCCCAGTGATCCCACGCCACAGCGTCCCACACTGTTTCTCAAGTCACATGTTCAGCATCACTTGTATGTTCTGCTGTTGTTGTTCAGCAAGTCATAGGTGAGTTTTGTGGTGATTTCTGCGTCCAGTGTGCGTGTCTCCATGTTTGTGGGAGAAGATGAGGAAGTGGCCGTTCCTTGCCTCGCCCACGCTCGCCCTGCTGTACACTTACACCTCACCAGCCTGCCATACACCACCATGCCATCACTCCCTCTGCTGTGTTTCTGTTGTTTTCCATGTGAATTCATTGCCAGAGCTGTGTATCCGAGTGCCTGAGGCCACTCGAAGCTACATGGATCAGCAAGCCACGTGGATCAGCAAGCCACGTGGATCAGCAAGCCATGTGGATCAGCAAGCCACGTGATCAGCAAGCCATGTGGATCAGCAAGCCACGTGGATCAGCAAGCCATGTGGATCAGCATGCCACGTAGATCACGACGCCACGTGGATCCTGATGCCACGTGGGGTGTGGACGTTGTCATGTGGACCTATGAGCCACGTGAGTTGCCAGATGTCCCAGGCATCATGCTGTGGTCTGCTGCCCGCATCACACTGACGTCACCGATGCTGCTGCCCGACTTCATGATGTCACAGTGTCTGCTGACGTCATAGTGCTACTGATGTCACCTCGCGATGTCACGCCTGACATCACATGATGTCACATCGAGTGTTCTAGTAATTATTTCAGTATTGTCGAGAAGATTGAGAGAAGATACATGTCGTGTGTTAATTAATTCCTCTCAGTCAGTGTTCTCACATGTTAGTGTATGGCTTAGTGTCAGTTTTGTGCACAGAAAAGCATCTTTTGCTAGTTAAGCCATGTTGTACCGCATGTACCACATGTAAAGTTTTCCATGTGTCCTGTGTGGTCTGCGGCCAGACCAGTGTGTAGCACCACTGTGTTACTTAGTCACCCGGTGTGACCAGCGCGTTTGACAGCTGATATTACTCAGCCCTGAGCGACCGAGTCCTTTGTACAGAAAGCTCTTATGCTCGTTGCTCGTGATGTTCTGCAGAATCGTACCTCCTACGATTCCCATCGAGATTTGTTTCACTTCACCTTCAGACCTTCAGAGTGTAGTTATATGTAGAGAAACAAGTCTGGGGACACTTAAGTCTAACCTCTGCTATAACTCCAACTGCCGAGAGTATGACACTCATCAAACCGCAGTTAGCCCTGTCAGCAGGCACTGTGTCAGCCTCGTGTCACAAGCTTCAGTGAGCAACCTGCACAAAGATGTCACTTTGACTGCTAGCTCACTCACTGCAGTCTGGTGTATGATGTTACGACTCCCAGATGTTTCACCCAGTCGTCTCTGCCATGACTCGCTCCATGACTCGCTCCACGCTCGCTGGTAGTGACAGCCCAGCGACAGTACCAGTCGACAAGTGTCCTCCTGAGTTGCTTGCCAGAAGTCCTGCCCAGTTGCCGAGTTTTGACGATGCCTTACTTGAGGGCACCAGCAGGTTGTGCCCCAGGTTGAGTGAAAACCTGCAGCGACTCCTATGATGACTGCTTCACTGTTCTAGAGGAGACCGTACCCCATTACGTCACAGCTCAGCCGCAGTGATGTCTCCTGTGTTGCAGTATCTGTCCAGACACAGGAAGGCATGCAGTGATGCCCTTTGACGCTCACTGCCTTTGACCACGATGTTTAGCACACCCCACGTTTTTTTCTTCCCTCCCTATAGGAAGTTTTTTTTTCCATGACCATATGTATATACATGTTTTTATTTTGTGTTCTGTGCCCTGTTCCTACGAGAGAGACAAAGTTTTTTTAACATTCGAGGTAGGTGGCCGAGTGTATGTAGACAGCCTGTACTGTCTGCACAGACAGCCTATGCTGTCTGCCAGCTTAGTTCATATTTTGCAGCACTAAGGTGCTGCCCTCTAGCCAGCCCAAAGTCAGTGGGACGCTGGTCCCACACACTCACTCACTCAGCAGCCTAGCAGCAAGACAGAAGTCCTACTAGCTCTCTCCTTCATGGGATGGCCCTTCCCCGCCATGGGCACAAACACACAAGCCTGTGTACCCACCACGACATTAAAAATAAAGTAAAGAAGCCTCTGAAGACATTTATCATTGAACCCCGCTCTGCAACAGCCTACCAAATAATTTTGTTTCACACCAGTGCCTGCTTGAAGACAGCCAGAGGTCTATTGGTAATCCCCCTTATGTATGCTGGGAGGCAGTTGAACAGTCTTGGGCCCCTGACACTTATTGTGTTGTCTCTTAGCGTGCTAGCGACACCCCTGCTTTTCATTGGGGAGATGTTGCATCGTCTGCCGAGTCTTTTGCTTTTGGAGAGAGTGATTTTCGTGTGCAAGTTTGGTACTAGTCCCTCTAGGATTTTCCAGGCGTGTATAATCATGTATCTCTCCCGCCTGCGTTCCAGGGAGTACAGGTTCAGGAACTTTAAGTGCTCCCAGTAAGTGAGGTGTTTTATCTCTGTTATGCGTGCCATGAAGGTTCTCTGTACATTTTCTAGGTCAGCAATTTCACCTGCCTTGAAAGGTGCTGTTAGTGTGCAGCAATATTCCAGCCTAGATAGAACAAGCGACCTGAAGAGTGTCATCATGGGGTTGGCATCCCTAGTTTTGAAGGTTCTCATTATCCATCCTGTCATTTTTCTAGCAGATGCGATTGATACAATGTTATGGTCCTTGAAGGTGAGATCCTCCGACATGATCACTCCCAGGTCTTTGACGTTAGTTTTTCGCTCAATTGTGTGGCTGCAATTTGTTTTATACTCTGATGAAGTTTTAATTTCCCCATGTTTACCATATCGGAGTAATTGAAATTTCTCATTGTTGAACTTCACATTGTTTTCTGCAGCCCATTGAAAGATTTGGTTGATGTCCGCCTGGAGCCTTGCAGTGTCTGCAATGGAAGACACTGTCATGCAGATTCGGGTGTCATCTGCAAAGGAAGACACGGTGCTGTGGCTGACATCCTTGTCTATGTCAGATATGAGGATGAGGAACAAGATGGGAGCAAGTACTATGCCTTGCAGAACAGAGCTTTTCACCGTAGCTGCCTCAGACTTGACTCTGTTTACTACTACTCTTTGTGTTCTATTTGTGAGGAAGTTATAGATCCACCTACCAACTTTTCCTGTTATTCCTTTAGCACGCATTTTGTGCGCTATTACACCATGGTCACAATTGTCGAAGGCTTTTGCAAAGTCTGTGTATATTACATCGGCATTCTTTTTGTCTTCTAGTGCATCTAGGGCCTTGTCGTAGTGGTCCAGTAGTTGGGACAGACAGGAGCGACCTGCTCTAAACCCATGCTGCCCTGGGTTATGTAATTGATGGGCATCTAGATGGGTGGCGATCTTGCTTCTTAGGACCCTTTCAAAGATTTTTATGATATGGGATGTTAACGCTATCGGTCTGTAGTTCTTTGCTGAGAAAGGTATCTCAGTATTTCAAAAGCCTAGACTCTTCCACCTCAATGCATTTAACAAAAATATTAGAGGGTGGTCACAAATTCCAGTACAGCAAAATATAAAAAATATGCATACGTGTGTTTGAGTATGATTTTGTGTTTATATGTGCACTTTCATATTTATAAAGTACATGTGTATATGTATGTGTGGTAGAATTTCCAGGACAAAGTATTGGTTTGTGTAATATATCGTTCCCCCAAAAAACGAGAGGGAGACCTCGGGACGAAATTATTAAGGCTTCTAAACATAACGTAGTAATAGTAGGTGGATTTTTAACTTAGTCAAACCATGCAAATGGTGTACAGTACCGGCAAGTCGAAACGTTTTGCCTACACAGTAGGCTTTAGTCGAATACAGAGGAGACAGCAGAAACAGTGGATGCAAAAAAATGATGTGATCAGTCTATCAACCTGGAAACAGTTGTTTACAGGTGGTCAGTCACTCAGCCTGGAGAAGAGTTCAGCTCCTTAGTCTGGAACATTGCTCCAGACTACAAAACAATGTCCTCTGTTCAAATTCAAAGTTTATTCTCTATAAAGATTACAATGCAACAGTTAGGTATCTTTATTATGAAACGTTTCGCCTACACAGTAGGCTTCTTCAGTCAAGTACAGAAAAGTTGATAGAAGCAGAAGATACTTGAAGACGATGTAATCAGTCCATCACCCTTAAAGTTATGAGGTGGTCAGTCCCTCTGTCTGGAGAAGAGCATTGTTCCGTTGTCTGAAACAATATG